TCTAAAACTGTAGCGATTGTATCCGGGGGGTCCGTCAAAGACAAGAGCCCGAAGTCGTGGTTCAACGCCATTTTGGCTAAAGCATCGACTACGGTGTTTTGCTCCCGGTTAACGTGTGTAACCTGCCAGAAATCAAACGTGCCAAGCTCCTTCCTGTAGGCCTCTAAGACGTTATGAGCAGCAATCGTTGATGGGCGTGGAATGCGAAGGAAATCTACGGCTGCACATGAATCACTTTCGAACAGCATGCTCCTAAAGCCCAGGGAGTAGGCAAATTGGACACCCTTCAATAGCGCCCATGCCTCTGCTTCAAGGGGTGTGCAGGATCCTAGTTTAGCAATGAAGCCTTTAAACCAGGCTCCAGATGATTCTCTAATTACACCACCACAGCCTGCTGCGACTGATTGGATAGCAACTGCACCATCTACATTCATCTTGAACAGGTTTGAGGGTGGTTTGTTCCAAGACAGTAACTTCCATGTCATAGAAGAGGCTGGAGAGGGAGAGCTCTTCAAAGTTGCATAGGCAGTATTGAAACCTTCAACCTGGGTCTTAATATGGGATATCTTGGCCATAAGCGACACAGTTGAGCCTTTAAAGATGGCTTCATTGCGCCACTTCCACAACCACCAAAGGGTAACGGCAAAAATAGAACTATCGCTGGATGGTCGTCTACCGCCACCTTTTGCAGCTAAGCCATTATCGAGCCATGGCACTAAGGAAAGGTGTCTCGATTCTTCATGCATCTGGGGCAAGATATTCCTCCAAACCTCTTCCGCGGCTGGGCAAAAACGAAGCACATGATTGGAATCTTCAGAAATATTACTACATCACCAACAACTGTCGTTGAGTGTGAGATTACGCCTCATGCGGTTGTGATTCGTCAGGATCTTATCATGTCTGACAAGCCAGATGAAAGAGCAGATGCGGTTTGGAAGTTTTAACTTCCAAATCGAATTCCACTTGGCTGCATCAATCTCCTCCGGATCATTTGCTGTTATCTCATAAGCAGATTTGACAGAAACAATCATTTAGTTCTCTGCACCAAACTAATTGATCATCCAAATTTGAATCCTCCTGAAGAATGAAAGTAGATAGCTTGCTCTTCAGATATGGCGGGAGGAGTTGGTCAAGCATCTCCCAATCCCAACCATGGTCAGTAGTCCAGTAATCTATCACATGGTTGAATCTGGCAGATGGGGCGATTGCTCCAGAAATATAATCAATTAAGGGCCTAGCAACCAACCATTTGTCCAGCCAAAATCGCGTGGTAAGACCATTTCTCACATGCCACCTGATGCCACTTTGGAGAGTAGATAATGAGTGAATAATTCCCCTCCAAGCATTGGAGCTATTACTTCGCAGCTGCCAAGAGGACTAATCAGATGGAATCACGCCATATCTGGCCTTGAAGAGTTTAACCCAAGTGCAATCCTCGTCCTGAGAGAGTCTCCAAGCAAGTTTCGCAAGAAAAGCTATGTTCATGTGCTTGAGGTTTCGAATACCCAAGCCGCCATTGGCTTTGCTTTTCGTAACAGTCTCCCAACTCACCAAGTGGCATTTCCTCTCACCTTCCTTACTACCCCAAAGAAAGCTTCTAATGAACTTTTCTATCACATCAATGATCCCTATAGGAAGCTTCATAGACTGCATGGTATAGTAGGGTGTTGCAGACAAAACAGCATTAACTAAAACATGTCGGCCAGCTAGTGAAAGGGTCCTAGCTTTCCAACCTGCCAGTCGTACTTGAATTTTCTCCAAAATGTCGCTGAAAGAACCCCTTTTTAATCTACCGTGAATGGAAGGCAATCCCAAATGCTTCCCCATATCCAGTACACTAGGAATCCCCAAAGTCTGTACGATGTTGAGTTGGGAGTCCATGGCAGTGTTCTTGGAAAAAAAGAGAGATGACTTGGAGTGATTTATCTTCTGACCTGAACATGAGCAAAAAACATCAAGACGTGCCTTGATTTCCATAGCTTGTTCGACCATGGCTTCCCCAAAAAATACTAGGTCGTCTGCAAAGAATAGATGAGACATATTAGGAGCATGACTATAAATTCTTACCCCTTTCCAACGTCCACAGTTAACTGAATTCAAAACGATATGACTTAATATTTCAATACAAAGCACAAACAAAAGAGGGGATATAGGGTCTCCCTGTCTAATACCCCTTTCCGGGGAAAACCAATCAGTTCGTTGCCCATTCCAAAGAACCGCAAGACGGGAAGAGGATATGCAATACATGATGTTCCTGACCCAGGAGTGATTAAATCCGATTTCCCTGAGTGTATCTACAATGAAACTCCAAGAAAGCATGTCATATGCCTTTTCAAGATCGATCTTAACAGCCATCCACCCTACTCTACCTTTCTTGGTTCTTAGGGAGTTAAGTACTTCTTGGTACGTAAGTACATTATCCGTAATTTGTCTGCCATGGATGAAACTTGACTGGTGCGGGCCTACGAGTTTGCTTGCAATGTCCTTAAGACGGGATGACATGACCTTTGTAATGAGTTTATAAACAACATTACAGAGGCCGATAGGTCGAAATTGTTTGATATGATCTGGATTCGACACCTTCGGTATGATGGAGAGCAAGGTGTCATTGCATCCAGGGGGAAGCCATCCAGAATCAAAGAAAAGTTTAATAAAACTGACCAGATTCTCACCGGTGATGGACCATGACTTTTGATAAAAACCAACGGTGAAACCATCAGGACTGGGGGCCTTACAAGCAGCCATATCAAATAATGCTAACCTAACTTCCTCATGGGTAAAAGGTGCATTCACTACAGTCCAATCCGCATTTGTGAGAGGTGGGAAAGAACCATGGAGTAAAAGTTGCGGACTAGACACCCCTTCTGCCGAGAAAAACCCCCGATAATAGTCGTAGACATGTTTCCTTAACAATCCTTCATCACTGATGCTCTGTCCATCATCGTTAATTAGACAAGGGATGATCGCATGACTCCTCTTCATGGCTGTTGCTAGTTGATAGAATCGGGTGTTCCGGTCACCAGAAACGATCCGCTGCTCACGTGAGCGTTGGAACTAAATGAGTTGCTCTTGATGAAGTGTCTCCTCCAATTCTTTGCGAAGTCTGCGTTCCAGTCTCAAAAGATCAGCTCTTGCACCCATCACAAGACACCGTTGAACTCCATCTAATCTAGCTAATAAATTGTTTTTCCTCTGGACGACACTACCAAAGGAGTTTCTGCTCCATTCTGGAAGTACCTGGGCCAATGCAGTAGTGTTTGACAACAGATCAAGTTCGTCGGAATCTAATAAGACGTTGCTAGAATGGATTCTGTCTTGGACATCCCGTCATTGGCGGCATCCGAAAGGTCCCCGGAAGATCAAGACTTGTTGGAAAGAAGCACGCGAAGGGCGAAAAGAGGCAGAGTTACGGCTGCATGTTCAGATCACCCCACACCGGAGTTAGGCACACAGGACAATCCCACTGGACATGGGGCGAGTACACCGGATTCTGCTCAATGGAGAACCCCAGCCGCTACACAGAGCCATGCTTGGAATCGCAGGGTTGATTATCCACCTCCTGTGGAAGAAGTTGTCTCCGATGATGATGAGATGGAAGACGATGGTGCCACCTATGATTACCCTGTTATTCGAGTTACGAAGGAAGAAAAAGAAAGGTTGCGTCGGCCATGGCGTAGGTCGCTCATTCTGCGTATCTTGGGTAGGACTGTAGGTTACTCCTTCCTCCTGTAGCGTCTACAACGGATGTGGAAGACAGAATCAGGTTTTGAATTGATCGCTTTAACTCATGAATATTTCATTGCAAAATTTGAGTCTCTTTTGGATTATGAAGCAGTGAAATATGGTGGTCCTTGGATGGTTCTTGACCATTATTTGGTCACCTAGAACTGGAGACCCAATTTTGATCCAAGAAACAACAAGATGGATACACTCTTGGCCTGGATTCGTTTTCCGTCCCTCCCAATCGAGTACTTTGACGATGATTTCTTGAAGAAGATTGGGGTGGTCATCGGACGTCCAGTCAAGATAGACTTCACCACCGGGTTAGCAACTAAAGGGAAGTTTGTGAGGGTATGCGTGGAAATCAACATGTCCAAGCCCCTGTTGTCTAACTTTGTGATCAATAAAATGGAATGGCCGATTGAATATGAAGGGATTCATCAGATATGTTTTAAGTGCGGAGTTTATGGACATTGAATGGATTCCTGTGGTAAGGATACTCCACCGTCATCAGGTAATGGAGATGGTGGTTCTGCAGCAAGATCAACTCCAGAGAATGAACAACTCGCCCAGAAACCTAAAGAGAAATACGGCCCGTGGATGCTGGTTACTCGAAGGGATAGGAGAAATCATCCTAGGAACCCAAATCAGCCACCGATGGCTCGTACCACTACTGGTCAGACCGATGCTTCAGGTCCTGAGAACCGTCCGGCTGGTGGTGTGGCGATACAATCTCGCTTTGAGCCGTTAGAGGACATGGAAGTCACAGAAGATTTTAATCGACCAATTGATCAGATTGCCCCTCCAGTGGTACATCAACAGAATGCTAATTTACCAAGAATCAGAACGGCTTATCGAGGTGGCCACCAACGTATGGAATCAAGGGAACCGGAGGTTGTCCAAAGACCCCCTGACCCTCCAGTAGCACACACTCATCCACAGCCTCGAGGAGCGTACAGAGGGAGAGGCGGTAGGGGTTACCAACCCAACAAAGCTGCAGCCGGGCAGGAACATATTGTAGTGAGAGGAACTAGTGGGGGAAGAAATATCACAATCCACTCAGTTTATCATGAAGATGACCATCAGTATACCCCCATTTTATCAGAGTTTGAGAATACCTTCAAAGAGACACCTCCGGACACAGATTTGGTCTCAGCAGCACCATAAGCAGAGGATATGCAGTAAGATGGTGGTTTGGTTGATCATGTGGTCGTGGCAGGGGAGGCTCTCTTGCGTCATTAGACGTGTGTTTGCTTTTCCTTCTCATTCATTATTTTATCATGAATTGCCAAGGTGCTGCATCGTCTTCGTTTAGGCGCACCCTTAAATTTCTGCTACGTATTCATAAGCCGTTTGCCTCTTTGAACCTAAGGTGTCAAGGAGCCAAGCCAATGATATTTGTTCTTCTTTTGGTTTTTTCTGATTGGTGTAAAGTAGAGGCAGTGGGCTATTCGGGGGGCATTTGGTTGTTATGGCAGGATTCAATTGATATTGAGATTTTGTATACTCACCCGCAGTTTGTCTCGTTTCAGGTAGCCGAGAATGGTTCTTCCCCGAGGCTCATGTCCGCGGTCTATGGTAGTCCAAATTTGTCTCTCAGAAAGCGTCTCTTCTCCGACTTGTCTGGTCACCATTTTTATCCACAGGGCTCTTGGCTATCATTTGGAGATTTTAATTCAGTCACGAGTAGTAACGAAGTCAGTAACACGGAAGCTTTCACTGCGTCACGTTGTTCAGACTTCAATGAATGGATCTTTAGAGAAGGATTAGTAGATTTGGGTTTCACAGGCCCTTCTTTTACCTGGACAAGGGGTATTGATACACCTACCTTTAAAGGTGCTCGACTTGATCGCGCTTTGTGTAATGTGGAATGGAGTCTTCGGTTCCCAAATACAACTGTTAATCATCTGCCTAGGATTCGTTCGAACCACTCACCGCTCCTTATCTCTACTGCCAGTTCTTCTCTACGGAAGAGCTCTTACAGCTTCAAATTTAATATAGCATGGGCGGCGCACCCCTCATTCCATGAGTGTGTTCGGACAGCTTGCATATCAGAATTGTTCTTTAATATCACATTTAAGACATTCAATAACATTGAGAATGCAAAATAAAATGTAAAAACACAATACTTTATAATATATGCTAATAGTATATTGTGATGTTTCAATATAACAACCAATTTAATATTACAAAAAAAAAAGTAACATTTCATAATTAATTTTAATGATTGATGTTTGAATTTTATCAACAATAAAAATACTTAAATTTTATACCGTGCATCGCACGGGACAAATACTAGTAAGAATGAACACAAATTTAATTTGAAGAATATTGTGCGGCCCAATTGATTTGGTATCAATAGTTATTGCATGGACCGTGGTCCACACAGTTGTGTGGACCACGATAAAAAGACGATGTTGTTTTGAGTATTTTTCTTTACACGAACCCCTGCAACATACATTTTTATAACTCATAATGTACATTATTCTAAAGTATAATCATGGGTGGACCCAGTGTGGGGGCAACTGCCCCCACTCCCCCACCCCACCCCTTTATATATATGTATATGTATACATATATAGCATGAAATATTATATAAAATCTATATTTATGCTAAAATTATCAATAGTTTGAGTAGGTTAGTTGGTTGAACTCTAAATTTTATCATGTAGAATGTTTATGTCATGGGTTCAAATCTCATTAGCAACACTTTTAATTATCTTCTCTCTTTCATTTCTTCACAAGATAAATTAAATATTTTTAGTCTACTTTTTATGAATAATTTAATTAATAAATTAAATGCTCTTTTAATCTAGTTTTTATAAATCATTTAATTAATGTAGTATACAAGTTTATAATATACTTTATTGTATTCGAACTAATTTAGAAAAACCGATCTAATTAAAAGAAATTAAAATTTAAAAGTATTTAGAATATATTGTTATTCAAATTATTTTATCTAATTGATTATGTTTCATATTTTCTGATAAATATATTGTAATTTATAATGTATTTTGTATTTTAACCTATTATGGTTGTTTGATATTTTGTCATTGACATTTCTAACATCATTTAATATTCGCCTCCACTCAGATGATTTTTTGATCCGCCACTGAGTATAATGTATATTATTATAACTCATAGAGTACATTATCTTATCTCAAAAGTTTCATTATTCTAACACATAAAACTATACATTATTCTAATTCATAACATATATTATTCTAACTCATAAAATTCAATGACGTCATTTTGAACTGTGGTACACATAACTATGTGGATCATAATTTACCATATTGGATGGATTAAGGGTCGATCATGCATGTACGTGTAAAATGACATGTAAGCAGTGGTTCAAATTCCGCGCAAGTGGTGAGCATGGAACTTGTAACAAGGTTGAATGCACATTTTGGGTGGCAAGAGAAATAAATTAAACTATAAAATAGGAAAGAAAATAACGTTTTTGGGTTCTCATTGATTCTCTAAATTCATACACATTCGAAAATAAGATTTCTTCTCCCAATAAAATTATATTATTCGGCAACTGAGACCGTGGGAGCGTTCTTCAAACACAGATATGAGAGAGTTGATAGAATACGCTGGGTGTGTTAGTGCCCTCCGGGAGAAGGTTGAACTAAGATCAAGACGGATGGTGCCTACAAGAAGAATACGGGGATTGCTAGGGGGGGGGGGGGAGGTTAGCGCTAGCTCGAGAGTCGGGATACGAAAATTGAAATTTTTAATAGCTTTACCGCTAAGCTGTGGGGTCTAAGGGAGGGTCGCAAAGGACAGAGATTTAAGAAGGGGAGGTGAACTTTGAACTTGATTCAGAATTGGTTGTTGCAGTGATGAGAAAGGAAAATGAGGTTGATAATGTTGAAAAAAATAGTTTAAAATGGCATAAAATGACATGTTAAGTGGCTATTTTGTGGTACAATTATCAGTGGGGTCCACTTCCAATTTAGGTCGGGTTAAAGTGGTTCGGATTCTTCGTAGTGAGACGAAGAGATCGATATATTGTACACTCAAAACGGATAATGGATGAATGAGATATTGATTCTCAAAGTAGACCCATTTGAGTTGGAAAATGAAGGGAAAAAGTGAGTTTTTTGTCCCACATTGCTTTGGAATGAAGATTTTCCCCCATTATATACAAGAGCTCTTTTGAAGCTTGTAGAATTGTATAGCATAGAGCCTCTCTCGCGCGAGGGGGGGGGGGGGGGGGGGGGGTGCAAATCAAATTCCAACTACACAAGATAGAAAAAAGGCTTGATTCAAGCTCGTGTGCGCCGGCACCTGCGAGCTAAGTTATGCCAAACTTGAATCATTTTCCAACATACGCCACGCTAAGTTATGCTAAACTTCGGAATCATTTTCCAACATACGCCACTGGATGTGGCCGAAACCAGTAAGGTCTCGGCCATGAGGCCGAAACAAGCAGCCATGTCTCGGCCTGGCGGGCCAAGACGTTAAAGGCCCCATGGCCGAAACTTACCTGTGCAGTTTTGTGACCGTTGGCTGTTCAATTCTACTGTTACGGAATTAATTTTTTGAGTTAATTCCAATTTTTAATTTTGAATTGAAGGCCATGTTAATGGTGCTGTTACAGGAAGGTGGAGGGGTGCCCTTAAGTGCCTAATTAAAAGCTATTAAATCCTTCACCCCTATATAAAGAGGAGTTGGGCAGTAGAGTTTTATACACAGAAATAGAACACAAAAGTTCTTCTTTTTAGCCTCAAAACATCTCTGCTTCTACTCCTTCTTTAGCCTCTTGTGTTCATAGCTGTGTCTTGCTCGCCGGATTCCTTGTTTGAGTGCTCAAACATTGAATCACTAGCAAGTTTTATCATGGGAAGCCTAAGCCACAACGCTCCTAGCATCTTTGGGAGGTGGCAAATAAGGTTTTAAGGAAAGAGTGCTCACTTGACTCTTGCAAAAACCCAACACCAAACACTAGCCAAATTTCTTCATCTTTTCTTCCCTTCTTTCCAGAAAATAATAGTCATATTTTATTTGATTATTATTTGTTTTCTACCAACGGCTCTAACAGTCTTAAAACCTTATTTCTTGTTTTCCCGTTGGTTGTTTTCTCTAATTTCCCTGAAGAAATGGATAACCCCGAGCTGCCTATCGTTAACAATGGGGAAGAAATGTTGTTGAGAACAACAATGGAGGAAACGGCAACCATGTTGCTAATTCCCAAGCTACACCAGTGAACGTTGGTTCACAATATGGTGGGAGCACTGAGGGATATATTCCCATGTCTCGCATACCTTCGGTACCGAGTGGTTCGGCAGAAAAGCCGGAGAAGTTCACCGGTGTTGGTTCGAACTTCAAGAGGTGGCAACAGAAAATGTTGTTCTACCTAGCAACTCTCGGCTTGGCGAGGTTCTTGTCCGAGAAGGTTCTCGAGTTGAAGGAACAAGATGCACAATCCGTGATGGCAGTTGGCTATTGGAAGGATTCGGACTTCCTTTGCCGAAACTACATCCTGAATGGATTGTGTGACACGCTATATGATGTATATTGAAAGATAAGCACATCAAAAGCGTTGTGGGAAGCTTTGGATCATAAATACCGAAGTGAGGATGCTAGCTCAAAGAAATTTGTGGTTGGCCGATTCCTCGACTTCAAAATGGTTGATTCAAAAACCGTGCTAAGTCAGGTAGAAGATTTGCAACTAATCTTCGATGAGATCCGTGACGAGGGCATGGTGCTAAGTGAAGCCTTCCAAGTGGGATCTATGATCCATTTGTTGCCTCCAGGTTGGAAGGACTTCAAGAACTACCTTAAGCATAAGCGAAAGGAGATGAATCTGGATGACCTGATCCAGCGACTCAGGATTGAGGAAGGGAACAGGACGAATGATAGGAAAGTTCCTATCGTTGTTGGCGCTAAGGCCAACGTTGTGGAGCACGGTAAGAGCTCCAAGAGGAACCAGAAGGACAAGTGAAAGCTAGGTCCGAAAGGTGGCGTTACCAAGAACAAGTTTCCTGATGAATGCTACAATTGTGGCAAGCATGGCCACAGAGCATCTGAATGCAAGGCTCCAAAGAAGAAGAACAAGAGTTCTAGCAATCAGAAAGAGGTCGAGATTAGCCTTTCGGCTATGGTGACCGAGGTGAACCTCGTGGGCTCAAACCCTCGTGAATGGTTTATTGATACCGGTGCAACCAGGCACTTGTGTTGCAACCGAGAGATGTTCAACACCTTTGAGACCGTTGAGGGTGAAAAGGTGGGATGGGAAACTCTGCTCAGTCTGCTGTGGAAGGCATGGGCAAGGTGGCTCTGAAGATGACTTCCGGGAAGGAACTGACGTTGAACAACGTGCTATATGTTCCTGAGCTGAGGAAGAATCTTGTGTCTGGCTCTCTGTTGAACAAGCATGGCTTTCACATGGTGTTCGAGTCAGACAAAGTAGTTTTGTCCAAGTTAGGGATGTTTTTGGTAAAGGATATGTAACTGATGAGCTCTTTAAGCTCAATGTAATTCCTGTTATCAATAAAAGCAAAGTTAATTCTGTTTACTTGCTTGAGTCTTCTAATTTATGGCATGGTAGACTAGGTCATGTTAATTTTAATTCTATGCGTAGATTAATTAGCATGGACCATATTCCTAACTTTAAAATTGACACAAATAACAAGTGTGAAATTTGTGTTGAGGCAAAACTAACGAAAGTACCTTTCAAATCGGTTGAAAGGGAAACTGAACCACTAGAATTAATCCATAGTGTGCGATTTTAGATCGATACAAACGAGAGGTGGTAATAAGTATTTTATCATATTTATCGACTATAGCACACGATACTGCTATGTGTATTTGCTTAAGAGCAAAGATGAAGCCGTTGATAAATTCATTCTTTATAAGAATGAAGTGGAAAACCAACTTAATCGGATAATTAAGAAGGTTAGAAGCGATAGAGGTGGTGAGTACGAAGCACCTATTGGTGACTTCTGTGCGAGTGTAGGTATAATACACAAGCGTACTACACCTTACTCACCTCAATCGAACGGTGTTGCCGAACGAAAGAATCGTACATTGAAAGATATGACGAATGCGATGCTTATAAGTTCGGGCCTACCTCAAGATGTGTGGGGTGAGGCAATTTTGA